CATGGAACATCCCGACATTCCCACCTGGAATATCCCGACATTCCCACCTGGAATATCCCAACATTCCCACCTGGAATATCCCGACATTCCCACCTGGATCATCCCAACATTCCCGCATGGAACATCCCGACATTCCCACCTGGAATATCCCGACATTCCCACCTGGAATATCCCGACATTCCCACATGGAACATCCCGACATTCCCACCTGGAATATCCCGACATTCCCACCTGGAATATCCCAACATTCCCACCTGGAATATCCCAACATTCCCACATGGAACATCCTGACATTCCCACCTGGAACATCCCAACATTCCTGCATGGGACATCCCGACATTCCCACCTGGAACATCCCAACATTCCCGCATGGAACAGCCCGACATTCCCATGGGGAAAATCCTGATGTTCCCACCTGGAATATCCCGACATTCCCACCTGGAACATCCCAACATTCCCGCATGGAACAGCCCGACATTCCTGCATGGATCATCCCGACATTCCCATGGGGAAAATCCCGACATTCCCACACGGGACATCCCGACATTCCCACATGGAACATCCCGACATTCCCATGGGAAACATCCCGATATTCCCATGGGGAAAATCCTGACGTTCTCCCTTTCAATCCCTGGAATCCCCTTTTCCCCTGGAATTTTAAATCCCAGGAATCCACTTTTCCCTGGAATCCATCCCGACATTCCCAAATGGAACATCCCGACATTCCTGTGTGGAAAATTCCAACATTCCCAGATGGAACTTCCTGACATTCTCCCTTTCAATCCCAGGAATCCCCTTTTCCCTGGAATTTTAAATCCCTGGAATTTTAAATCCCTATAATTCCCTTTTTCCTGGAATTTTAAACCCATGGAACTGCCTTTTTCCTGGAATTTTAAATCCCTGGAATCCCCTTTTCCTGGAATTTTAAATCCCTGGAATCTCTCCTGGAATTTTAACTCCCTGGAATCCCCTTCTCCCTGGAATTTTAAATCCCTGGAATTTTAAATCCCTGGAATTTCAAATCCCTGGAATCCCCTTTTCCCTGGAATTTTAAATCCCTGGAATTTTAAATCCCTGGAATCCCCTTTTCCCCGGACTCCAGTCCCACATTCCCACATGGAATATCCCGACGTTCCCGCCGGAACAGGAGCTCCCAAATCCCAGCCAACATTAATTAATCTAATTAACACTCAGGCCGCTAATTAACACTCAGGCCGGTTCAGCCGCAGCTTTGAGCGGAGTTTGGAATTGGATCATTCCCAAGGCTTTTTCCCAGGAATTTCTTTTCCATTTCCTTCATCAATTCCCAGATTTTAGGGGGAAAAATTCCAACCAAAAAAATTCCTCGAAGGCCGGAGAGCCAAAAGGCACCTCCAGGCCTCGATTTAATCCCGGAATGTTTTCCGGCTCTGGGATGAATCCTTTGGAATTCTCTAATCCCAAAATTATTTTCTGGAGGTGCCTTTAGGACCTGGCTGGTGATCCCGAATTAATTACAGGGATTAATCCAAGCGCAACTGGAATTAATCCAATTCCAGCCTGGAATTCCAGTCCTGAGGGATCGGCGAGTCCGTGGATTTTGGGGGTTGGAAAAGGGATTCCAGGATAAAAATGGAATTCCCGAAATCCCGGAATTCCTGCCGGGTCCGGAGCGATTTCCCTCCTCGCCGGGTTCCGGCTCCAGCCGCACCCGGATTTAATTCCGGCCTCATCCCAGAAAATCGGATCCCTGATTTCCAACGGAAATCCCAAATCCTGGAATGCTTTGGGGACACCTCCCACAGCCCCAGACTGATCCGAGAGTCCAACCTGGACATTCCCGGGATTCAGGGACAGCCCCAAATCTCTGGGAATTCCGGCTCCTCCCCACCGATCCCAGTTCCAGTCCCGATCCCAATCCCAGTTCCAAACCCAATCCCGATCCCAGTTTCCCCAGTTTGGGATTTCGGGATCATCCCATCCCATCCCAGGGCCATTCCCACCATCCCAACCGTGGCCACTTCCAGGGGTTCAGGGAATTCCAGGGAATTCCAGGGAATTCCAGCCCTGCCCCTCCCAGCCAGGAATTCCTTCCCAAATGGAATTGGAGCTTGGAATTAAAACTGGGAATTGGGCTGAGGGAAAGCCAGCAGCCTGGAAAATCGGGAATTTTGGGAATTTCAGGAATTCCGAGCTCATTTTGGAGCTGGAGGCTTTGGAATCCCTCAGGGAATGTTGGAATATTTTTCCTCCCCTCCTCTGCTCCAAATCCCGATGGGAACAATTACAAATCCTGGAATTTTTGGGCCTTGATGGGAATCTTAAAATCCCAACCCCGTGCCAGGAGCGCTTCCCATTATCCCAGGCTGCTCCAAGCGTCCGATCCTTCCTTGGGACATTCCAGGGATCCAGGGGCAGCCCGGAATCTCCGGGAATTCCATCCCGGGGTTTCATCCCGACCTCCGGATGGCGAAACACCAAAACCTGGCCCGGGGTTGTTTTTTTCCCCGGGGTTGTTCCCGACGCCTCCGCGAGACTGGAGCTGCTCCAGCTTTCCCGGGATTTTGAAATCCTTGGATCGCTTCCCTTTGGATGGGTGCGTGGGAATGGAGAAAGGGAGGAGGGAAAAGCCGGAGCACGGCCAGGTTTCGGTTGGGTTTTAGGGAAAGGTTCGTCCCGAGGAATGGGAATGTTCCAGAGGGAATGGGAATGTTCCAGAGGGATTGGGAATGTTCCAGAGGGATTGGGAATGTTCCAGAGGGAATGGGAATGTTCCAGAGGGAATGGGAATGTTCCAGAGGGAATGGGAATGTTCCAGAGGGAATGGGAATGTTCCAGAGGGAATGGGAATGTTCCAGAGGGAATGGGAATGTTCCAGAGGGAATGGGAATGTTCCACAGGGAATGGGAATGTTCTCCTGGGAATGGGAATGTTCCAGAGGGAATGGGAATGTTCCAGAGGGAATGGGAATGTTCCAGAGGGAATGGGAATGTTCCAGAGGGAATGGGAATGTTCCAGAGGGAATGGGAATGTTCCAGAGGGAATGGGAATGTTCTCCTGGGAATGGGAATGTTCCACAGGGATTGGGAATGTTCCAGAGGGAATGGGAATGTTCCAGAGGGAATGGGAATGTTCCAGAGGGAATGGGAATGTTCTCCTGGGAGTGGGAATGTTCTCCTGGGAATGGGAATATTCCTCCAGGGAATATTTAATATTTAATTTATGTATTTATAATTTATATTTAATATTTATATTTAATATATGTATATAATATATTATATATATTTATGTATTAATATATAGAATTTTATATATAACTCAAATATATATTGTAAATAATAAATAATTATTATATATAATTTTATGTTATTTAAAAATATAAATATGAATATAAATATAAACATATCTTTATTTATTTATTTATTTAAATTAAATTTTATTTCATTAATTAATTAATTATTAATATATTATATATAAGTATATCTATATTAATATAAAAATTCTTTATATTTATATTTATATTTATATTTATATTTA